CATCATTTCAAATGATGGACTTATGATAGATCCTAAGAAAATTCAAACTATTATGGATTGGAAGATCCCAAAAACGATAAGAGATGTCCAATACTTTTTGGGATTTATCAATTACTATCGGATTTTCATCAAAGACTTCTCTCAAGTTGTATCTCCACTTACACGTTTGACTTGCAAAGACAAACTTCAATGGAATCAAGAAGCAGATGTAGCATTTGAAGCTTTGAAGACAACCTTTGTTTTTGCACCAATCTTGTATCGCGTCAATTTTTCTAAGCCCTTTTTTATGGAAACAGATGCATCAAACTTTGCTTTGAGTGCCATATTGTCACAAATGGGAACATATGATAAACTTCATCCAATAGCTTTTCATTCTAGAAAATTTTCAGCAACCGAGATCAATTACAAGATCCACGATAAAGAACTTCTTGCAATCATGGATTCGTTTCAAGAATGGCACCATTATCTAGAAGGTGCTTCTAGTCCAATCACAATGTATACAGATCACAAGAACCTTGAATATTTTATATCAATGCATGTTTTGAATCATCACCAAGCCCATTGGAGTATGTCTTTGTCAAGTTTCGAATTCAAGATCACTTATCGACCAAAAAAACAACAAGGTTTATCAATTGCACTCTCTAAACGATCTTACCTTGTACTGAAGAAAGGAGATGCTGCTTTCGATCAACAACTGACAATTCACTTGAAGCTAGAGCATCTTCATCTTTGAGCAATGAAATCAACACTAACTATTGATTCAACTTTCATTAAGCAAGTTCAGTTAAGAATGTCTTCTGATCCCCTTATTCGTGATATTAAGGAAAATCCTTCAAAGTCTCATGATACTTCCAAGTTTGAATTTAAGAAGAATCTACTATATTTTGAGGGACGCCTATATGTTTCAGAAGGTGAAGCTCGATTACGTGTTCTTCAAGCTTGTCATGACTTTCCAGCAACATGACATTTTGGATACAATAAAACTTTGGAACTAATATCCAAAGACTTTTGGTGGCCACAAATATGGAAAGCAGTCAAAGATTTTGTACAATCTTATGATGTTTGCTTAAGATCAAAAACTCCTCGTCATCGACCTTACAGACTTCTTCAACTATTACCCATTCCAGAACGACCATGGTCTTCTATTTCTATGGATTTCATCATAGATCTTTCAATCTCAGGTTCTTATGACTATATATTCGTGATAATAGATCGTTTTACAAAGATGGCACATTTTGTACTATGTAAATAATCTATCACATGTGAAGAAACAGCTAAGCTCTTTCTTGATAATATCTATTGTTATCATGGATTATCCAAGGATATTATATCAGATAGGGAAATACAATTTGTATCAAGATTTTGGCGGACTCTTTTCAAGATTCTAAAAGTGGATATAAAACTCTCTTCGGCATTCCATCCTCAAATTGATGGACAAACGGAGCGTGTTAATCAAGTTTTGGAGCAATATTTAAGATATACCATTAACTATCAAGAAGATGATTGGATAACTCTTTTGCCATTGGCAGAGTTTGCTTATAATAACACAGTACATTCTTCTAAAAAATAAACATCTTTCTTTACCAATTATGGTTATTATCCACGACTTGATACTTTTGACTTTTAAAAAGTTGATAATCATGATGCAAAAGATTTGGCAATACATTTATCAGAGCTACATCCAACGATGAAGGCGTAGTTAAAAGAAGCTCAAGAACAACAAAAGGTCAATGTGGATGTCTATCAAAAGGAACAACCATCATTCCACATGGATAATAAGGTATGATTACTTTGTCCCAATATCAAGACCACTCGTCTTTGTGACAAGTTGGACTATAGAAGGCTTGGACCATTTTTTATTTCTACACAAATCAATCCAATTGCATATCATTTACATCTACTGGAGTCAATGAAAATCCATCAAGTATTCCACATGTCTCTTCTTAAACCATACAAGATAGTGGACATACCAAAAAGAAGGCAATTTCCACCTCATCCTATAGAAGTGGACAATAATGAAGAGTTTGAAGTGGAAGAAGTCTTAGATTCAAGGCGGCGCCAAAATAAATTAGAATATCTTGTCCATTAGCGCGGATATGATATTAGAAAATGCACATGGGAGCCAGTAAAAAATCTTGCAAATGCAACAAAGGTGGTGGAAGCTTTTCATCGACGACATCCATCAAAATCAAGATGAAAACCTTCTTTATAAAAGAAACAAGATCTAGGTAAGATAACATTCTACTTTCAATCCTTGTTTGTAGCTTCTTTGTAGTTGTGACTCTCAAGAGATGGAGAACCAATAACCAGCAGATTCGACTCAAAAGCCTTTGTTTGCTGATCTGCCGGACGAGACATTACGATTGTTACAACCTTCAAGATGATGCAATTGACATGAAGATCTTCAAGAACGACATGTTCTTCCTCAAATTGATGGCGAGATACAATGCATTTGGTATCACGACTTTGGAAGGGACTCCCGATGTTTGGTGATTTTAGTAGAGGTAGAAACAACTTCTAATGGTGTTCTAAATGTTTTATTTGAAGGAAGTTATGAAGGCCTCAACAATGATCAAATAACTGGTTAGCCTTCCCGCCTTAGTATGTGACACTACCTATAGTTGAGAGGCCCTATCAATCATCTTCGAAGAGAACAAAGATCAAAATATGTGGCTGGTAAAATTTGTTACATTATAAATTTCTTCAACATATGATGACCGCTCCTCATGGAACTCGTCTCTAAAAGGGAGGGTAATGTCATAGACATATGCATGTAAGCCAGTAATTACATATATAAATAAGTAGAAATAAATAAAAGTAGGTAAAAGTAAGTTAATTCTATAATATTTGCTATGGAAGCTTCCTAGAAGCCTCATAGATGCTGCTTTGACTTTATAGGTGTCTTTAATTGACTCTTTGGATTAGAAACGTGGTCAACAAGTTGGCCATGTGCCACATATGTTGTTAGCTTGAAGACCAAGCTAACTATGTGGCCCACACATATAAAAACTTGCCTTGTAAGTCAAGGCATGTATCTTACAAAGTCAACACATATTAGAGGTCCTATAGAACGTCGCCACGTAGTCCCTAGTTAGATAGTATATATAGAGACAAGAGTGAAGCCTTCTTCACTCTTGTCAACTCTTTTTTTGCTTCCAGTCTAGTTTCAAGGATCTCTAGTTTTCTTGGCTTTTGATAATAGCCATTTCAGTTTCTTTCTTAATATACATATCAAGTTATTTCTATTTTGTCATCTTTCTATAAGAGAAGCTTCACTTGTTTATTTGTCTTTATCATGTTCTTGTCCTTGACAATTTTTAATTTAAAAACTATGAGAGTATAAATTATATAAATCTATTGCTTAAATTATTCCAAAGATGCTATTAAATACAAAAATTCAATTCATGTTAATAAACAAGTAAAATTTATATCGAAGAAAAATAATAAATTAATAAATAAATTTATATATTCAAGAAGAAATAAGAATGACTATTACCTAAGACTAGAAAACTAGAGACTTTTGAAACTAGACTAGAACCAAGAAAAGAATTGACAAAAGTGAGGAAGCCCTCATTCTTGCTTCTATGTATTCTATATAACTAGAAACTATATTGCAATGTTTATTGGACGTCCTACATATGCTCAATTTGCAAGACATGTGTCTAACTTGCAAGGCAAGTTTCTCACATATGCACCACATAGCCAACTTGTACCACGAACACCTAATATATGTAATAAGTGGCAAACTTATTAATCCAGTTTTTAACCTATCAATTACCTAAAACACTTAGAAAATCAAATCTACACTAGAAAGCTTATAAGAAACTTTTCAATAATATATTATCAAATTTATGTACTTTTACTTACTTCTACCTAGCTCCTCATATCTATATAATTACCAGTATGGGTTTTGTCAATGACAAAACCACACTAATAGATGCAATTATATAACAATATCACAATATACTTATTATATATATAAAACCTATAAAATTTATATGTATCAAATGACATAAATATTAATGACAACAAAAATAACAAGCATTATCTAAAAGAACCTACATTATTAAGTAATAAATATTTTAATATTGTAGAAAAAATACTTAATCATATAAGTAATAAAACATCATTTTTTGTACTTCTTTAAAAGTGACTTTTAAACTAAAATTAGAGATGTTAAATTAAATAATACTAAAAAATATTATTATATAAATACATGAGTTAAAATTTTTAATTAAGAAGAGCAATATATATACACACATACACTCAAATTAATATAGACAAATTAGTATATAATATATAATAAAAATTCTTAAAATAAATACATCTAATATATGGATATGCATAAAATAATTTATTAGTATCTTACTTTGCAATTAGATAACATATATATATATATATATATATATATATATACATATATTTATATATATATATATATACATATATTTATATATATATATATATACATATATTTATATACATATATTTATATCTATATATGCATAAACATCATATCTTGATAGCAATTTGAAATAAATTTTGCACTTGGATTAAGACAAACCAAAATTCTTCTATAACAAGTGTTTTTATAAACTTTACTCTTCAACAAATTTTCTTCAAACTGTAAATAAACCTCAATAATTACAAAAACCTTACAGTTCTGAAAAGAAATAGGTGGCAAGTCAATTATACTCATACACATGGCAATTTAAATTGAGAAGACAACAAACAATGTCTAAGATAAAGATCAAGTTGGTCAATTATTGTATATTAATAAAATAAACATATCATTTAAACTGGCACATATTTCAAATCCCTAAGATAAGAACAAACTCAAGACTATCTAACAAATTTAGCAATTTAACAACACATTTGGTAAAGTACTACAAGAATCATTACTAACGGGTAGAGAATTTAGAGGATGAACACCAGTATTTGCAGGCCAATCCATAAAAGTATCACCAAGCACTCAACCAAATCCTAAGTACACAATGACGAATGTTAAAACAAGTTATTACATTGCCAACCGAGAAACTCAGTTTCTCAGCTACATAATCCAATTTCAAAGTCAACTCTAAAGTCTCATAACTATGTTACTGTGGTTGGCTCAATCAAACTGCCATTCTAAAGTTTGAATGACCCCAACCAAAAACGAAGCAAAAAAAAAAAAAAACAAAAAACAAAAAAAAACAAAACAAAACAAAAACAAAACCACCAAAGACTCTGCTATTCAAGTTTTAAAGAGGATCTCTTTTAATTCACAGTAATTATAAAAGTTCGTAGAATTGATTAGTTCATTCAGAACAGTGAATTGTAGTTGTGTACTTTTTTGCTTCAACAATAAGCAGTCTTCAATGCGATTCCAAGGCATATCCAATTCTGCCTTTCACAGACAGCTTATCGTAAATTCCTGCAAACACCATTACCTTCGTTAGCCTCTGCAGTCACATGTGATTAGAAAATGCTCATTGCCACTCTCATCCGCAAATGCACCCGCTCTCATACCGACAATCAACACTCCACACATGCCCCTCCTCCATGCCACGTCCCAAGCCGCAAATCTCAATGTCACATTCTGTACCCACATCGCCCTCCACCGCACTCACCCGCTGCTCCCACATAACACGCACACATTCCCTCAGTTGCGTACACTCTGCGCACACAACCTCCTCCGCATACTCAATCATCCTCCCCGACCCATTCATCCCCACACTGCCAAAAGGACCCCCTGACTACTACCTCCAGCCACAACACACGCACCTCGATTCACGACAATTCACAAGTACGCGCCCAGTGATCCAATACGATTTCACAAATCTCGGACATACCCATCACCATACTCCGCATACATCCGGATATAAACCCCCAAAACAGCAATAACACAAAATCCTCGTCCAGAAATGAAACACAAGAACCACAACCCACAACTTAACCTGTGTTCTCGCGCTTCCAACTCCCACAACTTCACCACCATCACCCCAAAACCACTACTCCACCCAACGCCGCACACTCCGCCATTCATACACCGCCAACAACCCCACGCCGGCAAGCGACTAAATCCACCACCCGCATTGTCCCCCACATGGCACCCCCCGTGCCTCCTCGCATGTCGACGCTCTCAAACGACACAAATCCCCCAACTCTTCTCTCCTTCAGCCTCGCCATGTTCCACTCAAAAACCTCATACCGATCCCGTTCCATCCCAACCCCCAACAACACAAATCCCATCCCTACACGATCCCGCTCATCTCTTGCACCGACCCCATCCCCACCCCGTCTGTTCCACCGCCATTCCCTGGACAATCAATAAATTCCAAAGCACCCGCCCTGCGACACAAACCATCAACCCAACGCTGCGCCCCTGGTTTCCCACGACCAAACCACCAACCCACCAACACGAGACCAAAACCATGCGTCCAAAACCACTTTATTCAACGATCTCTTCTCCATCAAATGCTTACCATGATCACCTACACACCCTCCACATATCCACAACACAAGCTGCAAAACCCAGCCAGACACGAGGTCCACACATCCGCCCCATCAATAAACATACATCGAGGCACCAAACTCCCAAAAAGCTCACATCTCAGAATCGGCTCAATTTCGTATCACCTATCTCAAATTTCTACCTACTCGCCGGGGGCTACCGCGTCTGCCGCCCTGCTCCGACCGACCGCAACCCGCCTACCCCCTCCCACTACCCCATTCCGCGGCTCGCCACCTCTTTCACAAACTGTCACCCCGACGCCCGTGTCCCTACCATGCTACTTGTACATTTGTTACAAAGAATTAGTTATGGCACCTCCCTTCCGCCTCTTCTGCTCCCCTACTGTCCGGACCCGTCCTTCCCTGGGCACGATAAAACCTATGCTCCATTCCACCAGCCTCAAACCTCTCGTTACCTGGCGCGTCCCCTAATAAGTCTTCGGAGCTCCTCCCGCCTAACGCTCCCTCTATTACATTGCATATTCGCCCGGCGGCGGGACAAGCCAATTCAAACCCTCTCTACCACACGACCCTACTTCAGCGCTTCGCAGCCCGTTGCTCGCTCTCCCCGCCTTCCTCTCTCGCTCTCTTCCGCTTCGCTGCCTCCAGCTCCTGTGCCGTCTCCACCACGTCGTCTTCTTCGTCCTCGAAATCCTCCTCCTCCACCTCTTCGTCCTCACCAGGCTCGAAGTCGCTGGCTCCCTCATCGTCGTCCGCCTGCCCGATAGGTTGCACCAGGTACTTCGTACCATACTCCTCCTCGTCCTCATCCTCCTCCTGCACACACAAACCGCACCACACGCGTCGTCAGGGACCCCAGAGCCGCCACAAAAACCAACAAATCACACATCGGCTCAGCCACCACTGCTGAGACCGCGAACAATGCTACGCAGTCCACCAGTATCCAGTATATGACCAACGCATAAACACACGAACAAAATCAAAGCTAAATTAAAACAAACCATTGCGATAGCGCGTCAAGGCATGTACTAAACCACCCCTCCCAGACCAGGACACTCCTGTCTCACATGCGCACACTCAACCACGTATGCCCTCCCTCACACCTACCGGACCAGCATCTAGCAGTCCTGACAGCATACAAACCCTGAATGCTCCAAACTCCAGGGTAAAACGCTCCAAGCAACCCACCCTCCAACCCTCACACCCCCTCTCCTCGTTTCCACACTTCAAGAGCCACTCAGTACCTCCTCTTCCACCTCCTCCTCGTTGTCCACCGCGTCCTCCTCCTCCTCGTCGTCCTCCCCGAACTCCCCGTTCTCGTCCTCCTCGTCCTCGTCGTTTTCTTGCACGTCCAGCTCGCCCTCCGTGCTCACTACTGCACCGCTCGCTGGCTCTGCACACCACATACCACCTCGCCCTGTATCAGCCCACAAACAGTACCTTCCCCGCCCACGTTACCCCACATCCACCGGCCCCCATAGCCCCCCACCCCACCCACACACCTGCTCGTCTACTCTTCACCCATTCTCGTCATGCATCTCAACCTCATAAACCACCACCACTCCCCCCGGTGCATACCCACGCTAAACCGCACCACCCTTCTCACGCCCACACCACCACGTCCCCGGCTGCACCCTCACCCCTCCCACCACAGCCTCCCCGGCCGTCACCACATAACTCATCAAAGCCCCCGCGCCTCTACGCATCTCTCTCCGTTCGCGTTTGCGTTCGCGTGCAAGGTTCACGCACGGCGCGCCACAAACCACCCTCGCTACCGACCCAACGAGTAAGCCACATACCCTCTTCGTCGTCCTCGTCCTCCTCGTCCACCACCGCATCCTCGTCGTCCTCCTCTCCCACCTCCTCCTCGCTCTCCTCCTCGATGTCTTGCACCTCCACATTGTCGTCCTCTTCGTCCTCCTCCTCGCTGCCGTGCTCGTTGCCCACCTGCCCCGGCCCCGCTGCGCCGCGGTTCGACGCCATCGCCATCTCTTCTTGGTAGCTCCCGCCCTCGTCCTCCTCCTCGTCCTCCAACTCCTCGTTGTCCTCGCCCTCCTCATCCTCCTCCCCCTCGTCGTCGTCCTCCTCGTGCACGGCCGCGCCCTTCGATTCCCCCTCCACGCCCTCCTCCTCCTCATCCTCCTCCTCCTCGCCCTCCACGCCATCGCCATCGCCATCGCCATTCATGTCGTCCACGTCCTCCTCCTCCGACTCCGACTCCTCCTCCTCGTCCGACTCCGGCCGCTCGTTCCCGTTCGCGTCGCTCTTGTCCAGGAACCGCAACGACTTCATCATGCCGAACACCTTCGCCCTGTACCCCGCGCTGCGCGTCACCGGGCACTCGTACAGGTCCAGCGACTCCAACTTCAGCTCCGCCAGCGGCTTCAGGTCCTCCACGGCCTGAATTTTGTTGTTCGACAAATCCAACTCTCGCAGCGACTTCAGCCCCGCGCCCACCAAGTGCTCCAACCCCGACGCGATTCGATTGTCGCTCAGTACCAGCTGTTCCAGGTGCGCAAGCGACGGAAAATCCGCCAAAGACGACAGCCCCACGTTCGCGATCGACAGCCGCTTCAGCTGCGACAACGAAGCCAACACCTTGGACTTCGGCAGCTTGCCCTGCGCGCACTTCACCACGCCATCCAGCGTCAGAGACTCCACCTGAAACGCAGCCTGGCCATGGCACGCCTGCTCCACGGCCCGCTCCCAAGCCGCGTCGTCCATCCCCTGCATGGTGTGCTTCAGAGGAGCGACCCACAGCATCCACCAACAGCGCGAAGGCCAAGTTCGGCGTTCACGCCTCGACGTCACGCCTGCCCTCCCTCGCGACCCCGCTCGCTTCGCTTCGCTTCCCTTCCCTTCCCTTCCCTGCCTGTCTGCCTGGGTTGGTTTCCCGTCCAGCCCCGCCGCTTCTCCCCGTCCAGCCGCGCCCAAGCTCCCGCTCCGCTGCCCCTGCCCTGGCCTCCCTCCCTCGCTCCCGCCTCGCAGATCTCCCCCGCAAGCCCCGGTCACGAGATACCCGGCGGATGTTTTCGGAGGGGCGGGGAAGTGAGGGGAGTAGCAGGGTATAGGGGGCGGGGGCGGGTAGCGTAACGGAACCCCCGGAGGGAAGGGCAGGGAGGCAGGCGGAGATCGTCGGCGTCACGACTCCAGCGTGGCGGGAAGCAGGGCGGGCAGACGGACGGACGGACGGACGGGTGGACACAGTTGAGGAATCATCCGTGGTGGGGGTGGGGCCTGCGCGTGGACGTGCGGGGATGGATGGATGGTGGGTGGATGGCTGAGAGATAGTGAGAGTTCGTTGGATGATAGTTCGAAGGGAGGGGAGGGGAAGACAAGAAGAGAGAGAGAGGGGGGTATTTTGAGTAAGGCATGCCTCGTGGCATCATCTCACTCACTCCCCCCCAAACATCATTGCCACCATCCCGGGGGACAACGCCACGTCCATTGCCCCACCCGACGTGGAATGGGTTGCCTTGCATGTAATATATTTTCCAAATTATGAAATCTATGAATGTTTTGAGAAAACTCTTACACATTAGTTTGGTTTTAGGAAACTTTTTAGTGGCAATTATTTTTTTTGTATTATTATTTAGTACTGTTCGTGTTGATCTGTGAGTGTGTGTGTATATATATATATATATATACACACACATGCACACAAAAAAATTGAATATAATAATATTTTTATAAGATAAGCAATATATGATCATCATAAATTTGAGTGACATGAGTAAGTTTTTACCTAAATTTTTTTAAAATTGAAATTCAACTTATGCATAGAATAGAAAATTGTTATTTCAATCCAAAAAAATTGCTTTTTAAAGATATACTTTTGTTTAGAATTAATGCTTCAAAAGTTCCAGAAGCGATTCCTTGCCAGTAGACACAAGTTAGTCATAATCATTGATTTTCCTTCTTGATTGGATCTAATACTTCTCTCAGTTTTACCCAAAAAATGTTAATTTCCATTTTTTTGAATGGCACTTTCTTTTTTCAAAATAATTTATCTTATTACATGATTATAAGGAATAAAGCCAATCTTTTTGATTACATATATGATAAAAAAATTCACAGCTAAAGCTCCAAGCATTCCAAGTCTCATTACATTTGGTGTTTACAGTAATAGAATTAATAAAATCTATATCTTAATCAACAAAATTTGTTTGCAATCTTACGCATTTTCAAAGCTTTGGTTGGTTTTGCTTAAATTTATTATGACTCTTAAAAATAATGCTTCAAAATTCATTACCGTGCTATTTGGTGTTTTATTATCTATATATTTATTTATTGTTTTTATTTCTTGTTTGAAAAAAAATAAATTGTAACTATCTCTAGCTTTTTTATCTTTAAAAAAAAACATTATAATGACCACATGTTTGTAAAATAGAAGCAAAGAAGTTAATAGAAATAAGATTTTATCTTTATTCTTTAATTTAGCATTAATATATGTACAATTACAAAGGGTTGTGTGAAAGATATTTAAGTAATCCAACAAATTGATAGTTTCTTTCATATAGATTGTATGGATTTGTTGCTTTACATATAATTAATCTATTAAGAACTTTTTTATGTAAAATTCCCACATTTTCATTTATACCTTGGTGCAAAATTTTCATTCAAAACTTTATACAACATTTCTATACAAGGCTAAATTAAATTTTATCTTATAATTTTTAAGTTAATTAATTTATATTCTTTATTGATCTGAATTATTGAATTATTTTCAAAAACATTATATAGAATTTTTTGTCCAATTCTATTTTAATTTACCACTATTAGAACAAGTATTTTTATTCAATTTTTCAAAAGTAATTTTATTTCCAAATATTGAATATAAATACATCACTTCAATCACTTTTTTATTAATTCTTATAAACTTAAACCTTCTCAAGATTATCCATAAGATATTCTCAATGCTTGCCAAATAAGGCTTATTCCATCATAAGATGGTACCACCAATACTTTCTTTTCTAAAATAGAAGAAATTAAAATAAATGACATAAAAGTCATCTATAATCTAATTAATTTAAACAGACAAAAATATAAGACATAATCATAACATGTGACTTTATTACATCTAAAAAATAATAATAATAATAATAATAATAATAATAATCTAAATTTATGATTTATTTCAATATCAAATTGCTATTATATTAAATTTATATGTTTTATTTTTTATTTATATATTTTAAAAACTAAAGTCTACATAGATTATATTATACTAGTTGAACTTATGTCATCAGCATAGAAAACAAGCAACAAATCATGCATTACAAGGTAAGCAAACATATGGTTGAATTAGTACCATGTCTCTATATTGTCATCTTTCCAAATAAGAATAGTATAATAATACTTGAAGTGTAATACTGCTTTGTATAACCCCAACAATAATATAGTGCATCCAAATTAAAAGAACATATGTAATCCTAGTCTAATGATCAAAAGATGCCCCAAACATATTAAATTTTAGAAATTTAGAATAAATTTAATTATATTAATCACATGTATATTCTACTAAGAGGATGTCAAGGACAAGAACATGATAAAGACAAATAAACAAGTGAAGCTTCTCTTATAGAAAGATGACAAAATAGAAATAACTTGATATGTATATTAAGAAAGAAACTGAAATGGCTATTATCAAAAGCCAAGAAAACTAGAGATCCTTGAAACTAGACTGGAAGCAAAAAAAGAGTTGACAAGAGTGAAGAAGGCTTCACTCTTGTCTCTATATATACTATCTAACTAGGGACTACGTGGCGACGTTCTATAGGACCTCTAATATGTGTTGACTTTGTAAGATACATGCCTTGACTTACAAGGCAAGTTTTTATATGTGTGGGCCACATAGTTAGCTTGGTCTTCAAGCTAACAACATATGTGGCACATGGCCAACTTGTTGACCACGTTTCTAATCCAAAGAGTCAATTAAAGACACCTATAAAGTCAAAGCAGCATCTATGAGGCTTCTAGGAAGCTTCCATAGCAAATATTATAGAATTAACTTACTTTTACCTACTTTTATTTATTTCTACTTATTTATATATGTAATTACTGGCTTACATGCATATGTCTATGACATTACCCTCCCTTTTAGAGACGAGTTCCATGAGGAGCGGTCATCATATGTTGAAGAAATTTATAATGTAACAAATTTTACCAGCCACATATTTTGATCTTTGTTCTCTTCGAAGATGATTGATAGGGCCTCTCAACTATAGGTAGTGTCACATACTAAGGCGGGAAGGCTAACCAGTTATTTGATCATTGTTGAGGCCTTCATAACTTCCTTCAAATAAAACATTTAGAACACCATTAGAAGTTGTTTCTACCTCTACTAAAATCACCAAACATCGGGAGTCCCTTCCAAAGTCGTGATACCAAATGCATTGTATCTCGCCATCAATTTGAGGAAGAACATGTCGTTCTTGAAGATCTTCATGTCAATTGCATCATCTTGAAGGTTGTAACAATCGTAATGTCTCGTCCGGCAGATCAGCAAACAAAGGCTTTTGAGTCGAATCTGCTGGTTATTGGTTCTCCATCTCTTGAGAGTCACAACTACAAAGAAGCTACAAACAAGGATTGAAAGTAGAATGTTATCTTACCTAGATCTTGTTTCTTTTATAAAGAAGGTTTTCATCTTGATTTTGATGGATGTCGTCGATGAAAAGCTTCCACCACCTTTGTTGCATTTGCAAGATTTTTTACTGGCTCCCATGTGCATTTTCTAATATCATATCCGCGCTAATGGACAAGATATTCTAATTTATTTTGGCGCCGCCTTGAATCTAAGACTTCTTCCACTTCAAACTCTTCATTATTGTCCACTTCTATAGGATGAGGTGGAAATTGCCTTCTTTTTGGTATGTCCACTATCTTGTATGGTTTAAGAAGAGACATGTGGAATACTTGATGGATTTTCATTGACTCCAGTAGATGTAAATGATATGCAATTGGATTGATTTGTGTAGAAATAAAAAATGGTCCAAGCCTTCTATAGTCCAACTTGTCACAAAGACGAGTGGTCTTGATATTGGGACAAAGTAATCATACCTTATTATCCATGTGGAATGATGGTTGTTCCTTTTGATAGACATCCACATTGACCTTTTGTTGTTCTTGAGCTTCTTTTAACTACGCCTTCATCGTTGGATGTAGCTCTGATAAATGTATTGCCAAATCTTTTGCATCATGATTATCAACTTTTTAAAAGTCAAAAGTATCAAGTCGTGGATAATAACCATAATTGGTAAAGAAAGATGTTTATTTTTTAGAAGAATGTACTGTGTTATTATAAGCAAACTCTGCCAATGGCAAAAGAGTTATCCAATCATCTTCTTGATAGTTAATGGTATATCTTAAATATTGCTCCAAAACTTGATTAACACGCTCCGTTTGTCCATCAATTTGAGGATGGAATGCCGAAGAGAGTTTTATATCCACTTTTAGAATCTTGAAAAGAGTCCGCCAAAATCTTGATACAAATTGTATTTCCCTATCTGATATAATATCCTTGGATAATCCATGATAACAATAGATATTATCAAGAAAGAGCTTAGCTGTTTCTTCACATGTGATAGATTATTTACATAGTACAAAATGTGCCATCTTTGTAAAACGATCTATTATCACGAATATATAGTCATAAGAACCTGAGATTGAAAGATCTATGATGAAATCCATAGAAATAGAAGACCATGGTCGTTCTGGAATGGGTAATAGTTGAAGAAGTCTGTAAGGTCGATGACGAGGAGTTTTTGATCTTAAGCAAACATCATAAGATTGTACAAAATCTTTGACTGCTTTCCATATTTGTGGCCACCAAAAGTCTTTGGATATTAGTTCCAAAGTTTTATTGTATCCAAAATGTCATGTTGCTGG